AGCATTTACAGCTATCGATACTATTTAACGCTGTAAATTACATCGAAACTGGGTAGTTAAGAAGTAATAGGCAGTTGAACACCCAGAAATGGCAGTACATTCCCTGCACCATTCGCGCATTAACAGCTATGTACGCCCCATACTGTTTGAATAAATTAGATAAAACAGCTGTGAACACCCCACACTGTTGCAACTAAGTAGTAGGGACAGCTGTGTACACCCCACACTGTTTAAATAGACTGATGACTGGGTTCAACCCACACTGTGTTAGTCTAGTAAGAAAGAGATTAGAGATAAATCTGAAATATGGTTGAGTAACCACTTTATTAGCAGCAAAGGAGCGGCACTATTCCCATAGTTTTCTACATATTGTATCTTCGCATTAATTGAATTGAGAAATTTGATATTGAATATGGTATAGTTTGCAATGGTAATCCGAGCGAAAATAATAGTATTGTATACTTATAAAATACAAAATAAAGTTAGCGTTTAAATAACAAATTTTATGAGCAGATTTTATATATGGGAACTCTTGAACTAAAAATAATTGTGACAGTTTATGCTGTAATCGGGTTGTACTAAAAATTGACCGATTTTATTGTGAAAATGAATGTAACATTTTAGTTTTTTATTTTATGTTAGGATTTAGTAGGGATGAATCAGTCCTGAAAAGACCGGTCTTTTTAACCAGTCTTATGGTTAACTGATCCTCGGTCTTGAGACCGGTCCTCAAAATAGCTAATTAAAAAATATATTATCTTTATTTTCAATTACCGACGTCATATGATTTGATATCTCCGCTAGCCAATAATATGTTTAGAGTTTTAAACAGTTAAGGACCGTTATTGGAACTGTAAACCATTAATAGACCAGTCTTATCAGGACTGAACCATCCCTAGGATTTAGGTCAAAGATTTAGGTTAATGTTATTAATATCAGCATAAGTATCTATACCAACTACATTATCGGCATAAATGCATTCAAAACTATCATTTTTTATTTTAACGCGACTATGTCATGTATCGTCTCTTTTCGCTTTCATAAAGGTATCATATTCATAATTTTACTCTACGATATTATTAATATGGTCCGGTGCAAAAAGATTTGTACCTCAAAGAAACGCATAAAAAATTTTTTTTAATTAAGCAACTATTCTTTTTTTTTTTGTATAAATCTATCAGTACAAGCTCGGAAATACAAAAACTTTTAGATTCAATTTATATATTATCGAAATAATCAATAATGTCATTTTCTTCAATTAATTGCACCTTTTTGTTAAGATCAAAATATTCCTTGGCAATTTAAATGCTATTCTCCAAAACCTGATTATAAATTACGATTTAATTTTTTTTAAATGCATTTTAAAAATGTACTATAAACCAAAAAAATTGTATGCACGCCTGAATGTGCAACTGGTGAAATTTTTATCAAGTTAAAATTTAAGTTATTCAAGAGTTTTTTTAGGATTGTACTGTTATTATGCATGTTTCAATTTGCTATTATGTCTCTAACTGTTCCCTCAAAAAAAAACACTCAATACTTTAACAACTTGCTTGCATAATACGTATAAACTTTTGATAATCATCTCTTATAGAATTGGCTCCATGAAAGTAAATATAAATGTTGAATACCACTTCTGTAAATGGTACACTATTTCGTTCTAAGGAAGAGGATGGTATTGTAAAGTAAAATGGTCGACTCTGAAGATAGATTTAATTACATCCTATTAAATGTGTGAGTTTTAGATCTTTATCATAACTATACATTCTTTTTTTGCATCATATTTTGGTGAGATCTTTATGCACTAGGCCATATTTATAATAAAGTTAATAAGTTTAAATTGATATTTTTATTTATTTATTTTAGTTTAATTGATTTTTTATCACTGTATATTATTTATATATTTTTTCAACAGATGAATTTGCAAGGATATAACTCATGATTCAGTAATCTGAAAATGTGTACCAGCTTGGTGACGTTAGTCTCATGACCTACGAATCAAGATTAGGTGCAACGTATATAGATGTGGTAAAATTGTTCTTCCTAATAAAAAGTTTTTGTTGAAATTGTTGAAATTATTTGACAGTGAAATTAGTAAAATTATTTTTTCAATATTAAAAATTAATTAAGCTAAATCAAATACAATAGTTATAGAAATATTAAAATTGTCGAAATTATTGTTGAAAAGAAAATTTCACCCCAACTGTAGCAACGTAATACGATCAAGAAGATTCAAACAAACACTCGTTCTGTTGATAACTCAAAAATCAGCATAAGAAATCCTCTATCAAAAGTTTTCGTTGAACAATTTTACTATTACAACTATACCTCTCCAACACTTAACCCTGATCCTAACCCTAACCTTAACTAATTTTAAGAATTTTGTCTGCATCATCAACCTGGTACACATCAAATATTAGACTTCATTACAACTGTTTTTATAAAAATTGACCGACCAAATATTTGCCGATTTAATAAGTTTTGATAAACTTTTGATTCGGACCCGAATCAACTGCCGAATCAAAACTTTTCGAATCGGCAAATATTCTGTCGGTCAATTTTTGCCAGATTTTCCAAAATTTTATGAAAACAACTGTAACGAAATAAAAAATAAGCAAAGTTTGACGAATATAAGTCGTTATAACGAGTGTCTAAACATACTAAAAATTCTGGAAATTTAGTGCAACCTGAAGTTCAAATTTTAGGTGGTTAATACTTTCAAAATTCTCCGCAGAAGAACTGTACAAATGACCGAACTTATTATGCTGTAGAAATTATTTCTGTTTTGCCGAAAGTATTTCGGCATTGGTTTTTAATATAAATATCTCAATTATTTCATATCAAAAATCAAAGCTGAAATAGTTTTTACGTACGTACACCAGAGCACAAAACCTATTGTAAAATGTCGGAGATTTCCGTTTACGTTTACGTAGGACAATTTCCGTCATGATACGAAGTTAGTTTATGTTTAACACTTTAGGAAACTTATAATTTTTTTATTAACTGGTGAATGTATCAGTTTTACTAATTTCAAACGACACATGTTAATTTAACATAAATTGAAAATTACGCGGGACAAATATTTTAACTATAGTAAGCTAAATTAAGTTACGATTATGATGTCACTTGGAACTGCTGAACTTTGCAAAAACAAAGTAAATTAGAGATTGAAAAATTTGTATTGTTTCTACACAATGAGTGTATCACACAATAAATATTAGTGATACAAACTTAAAAAGAGTTAGATGTTAGCGAGAGGAATAATAATATTTCGGAAATTGCATTCCTGTCATTTCTAGTTAACATTACAAGGCAGGTTTAAATCCATATTGTTGCTTTTTTTCGTTTTCCCTACGCACGTGTCTGGTTGAACTGGAATAATCGCATTTTTACGTTTTCCGATTGGCTAATTTCTTTTTGGTTACATGCGCATAATGGGAATTTAGGAATTTTATGATTAAACGTCAGCACAATAATAATTTATTAGCCATTTTATAAATTTGCCTTACGTATAAACGATGTTTCCTCTTCACGGAATTTTATGTATTAGTAGATTGCTATCAAACTTAAGTACTCATTTAGGATTAATCAAACATTCATGATTTGTACACCAGCATGTACATACTATCTTTAAATTAACGTAGAAATCGTAAAATCAAAGTACCTGACTATTGTTTTATTTTAATAAAGAAATTAAGTAAAAAATGGCAGAGTACTTTTATATAAATACCATAAAAATTTTCTGACCTCTATACTGTACCAAATTAATTTGGCACATTTATTGTAAGTTTTTTCTGTCTTTTTTTTTTTTTTTTTTTTATATATATATATTTTTATTACAAATTTACTATCAATTATTTCAATCTTACAGTAAAATGTATGGTTCAATTAAGCAAACCAAAAATTTTGAAACAATCGCTAGAGAAACTATTGCTTTTGGACATAGTCTTGTCCAGGCAAACAATTCTAGTGATTTAGAGATCGTGATTTATGAAGGAGACGATATGTTTCCTATAAAAACTGTAATAGCCTCTGGCGAATATGATATTATAAATGGAGGTTCATTTTAAGTTTTAATAAGTTTTAATAAGCTTTAATAAGTTTTAATAAGTTTAAATAATAAATAAAATCATAAGAATCCAACAATAAAGATTCCATTAATCAATTATCTTCATTAATTATTTAATAAATTTTTTATTTATTTTATCCTTGTTTTTTAATACAATTATCAATCGAGCACTATCGATGTACATACGTGCATACGTATGTACATAACAAATATATCGATCATATTCAATGCATTTAATGTACAGTACGTACAGTACATAATGCAGTACTGTACGTACAAACTGTGGAGTTTAGCTCCAATATATTGAAATTTTATTTGGTGTTCCTCTCACAAACAAAATATTCTTGAACAATCAGAAAGTCTAGATAATGCTATATACGTATAACATTAATATTTTGAACTTTACTGTTGCGTCCATAAATCTTAATACGTATTAAAACCGATTTGCAAATAGTTTCCCAATACAGGCCATAATTTCACGTTAGCCTTTTTTGAAGATATTTCCGAACGGGTTAACCCGAAATTGACCTGTTTTATTTATATTGACACCATCGAACCGGCATCGGTGTTTCGGTCGCTTCTCAAACGGATACGTCGTGTAACCTACGAACGGCTTAGTCGATAAGAGGCGGTTAGATTTGGCG